GGGTTTAGCTGTAGAGTGTGCAGAGAATTCAAGAACAGAGTGCAGGACTCATTACTCCACTTTCTCCTCTCATACAAAGTTTTCAGTCCGGATGTTGCAGCTGTTTCACTGTGCACAGCAGAAGAATGCAATGATTTTGGCCAGGAAATGGGGATTGCTTCATACTGATGCAGAGCTGGGTTATGGTTTTTAAAAATTCTCAGAGGTGAAGTTTCACTTCACACCAGAACGATAAGGAAATAGATAAAGCGATGGCACCAAAGTTAAGCAGGACACACGCTTAGCTATTTTAAAGTTAGAAGGATTAACATATGGTCTAACATAAAATAATAGTGACACATGGGACAAAAAAAAAAAATTTAAGCCTATTCACTTTAGCTGCTGAATTTAACAAAAACAGTCCAGTACTGAACTGTACACAACTGTTCCTGTCATGGTTCTATGTGGAACTGTCATGGTTCCATAAGCAGTAAGAAGAATTTAATTCAAGTACATACCATTTTCTGTCAAGAATTAAATAATAAAATGCTGCACAATCATTTTTCCAGGCAGGAAGTAAGAACAATTCCACAGCAACTGCCACCTATTCTGTTGAGCAGAAATTGAGAGATGTATGAGAAACGCTTGCACAAAAGACCTGTTTATGGCCTGCAGTTAGATAATGAAGTCTTACTTCTGAAGATGAACTAGTTAGAATGTAAACTTAAATGTATCACAGAAGTGTCTAAGCAGAATTTCCTTTTGTTATCTCTCTTAATAAAGTGGTAACAAACACTTCACATAAAGAAAGAGCATGCTAATGTTCAAATGGAAATGCAAGGAATTTAACTGGAATCAAGACATTTTTAATTACTCTAAATATTAAAAACAATAGTATAGAAAAGCACGGTACTGAACCTGATAACTGAAAGTTAGGATTGCCTACTGCCTACCTTTGCGTGCAAGGCAACAAGTCAGACTATACCAGCATTTGTGAAATTGTTTTACTTATAGTACTTGATAACTAGCAGTAGTTAGGAATAGGAGTCTGCACCATTTTGGTGCTGTTGTTGATTTCTTAAAAGGAAAAATTGGTATTGGAGCATAAAAATCTATCACAATCTAAGTGTCTGACCAACAGCCAGTGCTGTCGAGGCAGATTTCAGCAGAACCAGATGTGCAATGCACTGCTGCATTTGCACTCACCAATGCAGAAGAATACTTAAGGGCTTAAAAAAAATCCTTATACCCTGAAGCATGATATACGGTTACCGTTATCCTACTGCACACCACTACCAAAAAATGCTAATAATGCTCATAAAATTAGTCCCTTTAAAAAGCCAGCATTTTTAACTTAGAATTCCTGTGGCATTTCACCCACCACATGCAACACGAACATTTCCAGTCTGCAATTACTTCTCTACTGCCCATAGGTCCTATTCGTTATTTAGTTAAATCTAAAAGAGGTGGCCGTCCAATTCTGCATGTCACATTCTTCAACTTCTCAGTCCTAATACGATTGTAAATGAATTCTCCCACACATCAATCACATAATACCAGTGAGGCATGAGATCAGAAACATAATTCATGTCAACACTGTTATTGGTTATGTTGCCAGTCACCTAGCAAGTATTTCCTCATTGCTGTTCTGTGTACTGCCAGATATTTGGGCAGAACGGGTGGCGCAAGCTGTCATTAGAAACACTGCCGGGAAGGGGCTGAATGCCACGAGTCTTCTCCTCCCTTCACTCCTCCAGGTCACTTCCCTATCTGTGCATTAGTACAGAAAATCTTCCCACCAGCTTTGTTCTCAGCATCAGCATATGAAACACGACTGCAGTGGTGCAATGGCTAGAAAAGGAATCGCCCAGTAACTGAAGATAAGTCTTCAGCTACCCCATCAGCTCAGGACATAACACAGCCACGTGTTCTACCTTCGGTTTAGAAAAATCTAAATGCAGCTTGAATAATTCTAAATATCAAGATAAACAGTAATGGATTCTGTGTGCTACTGGAATGGAGTAGCGCCTAGAAGAAAAAAGTAAACTAATGGTAGATGCACATTCAGTTCTGATTCATTACGTGTGATGTGCAAACTGCTCACTTTCCTGCTTCATTTCTATTGATGTGCAATTTCACCTGATTTTGGCTTTTAATGGTTTTGACAAACTTGAAAAAAATAATTAGCTGACATGACATTTAAGAAGCCGTTTCAAAATAGGATCTGGCATCCTCAAGAAATGAAGCCTGCAAGAAAAATGTTACCACTATACAAGGCAGGTTGAAGAAGAATAAGAACAGCATCTATTAAGATACAAAAATCGTTTTCATTTTTCTATTTTCCTTCACTTTTTGAAAAACAATTGAACAGCCCCTAACTTCCTTCTGAAACCTCTACTGGATTTTTAATTGTCTTAAAAAATGTTGGTCGACTGAGAAAGCCAGACTCTCCCCATGAGTATCTTCTCAGTTCTTCATCCTGGAAACAGATATTCCTTACTTCAATACCTGCCACTTCACCCTGAAATGAGTTCATCTAGGTTGTTTAGCCTTGTCACCCTACTCAACACCAATTATTCTAATGTACTCCACTGCCCATACAATATTTTCCAAATAATTGACATTAGATATGCTATTTAAACATGATGTATCAACATTATCAAGTTCAAACTTAATTCTCAAACTGAGTTTCTATAGAAGACCTTGCACAAACATGTGGTCTCTTTTCCACTGATTCCCAGTGATTTACACTTCGACCTAAGCAAAAATCCATGTGAATCTAAAACTACCTAAGTGGAAATGCTGTTTCACAGATTCAGCACCCATATTATATAATCATCTCCATTTTGGTTTCTAAAGACTCTTCTTTTTAGCATGTTATTTTACTACACAGTTCTCATCTCCCAAACTGTTTTCTTTAAGTTAATTCAGTCCTTGCCAATGTTGTACATTTTTGTATTTCATTTTCACTAACAATTTCTTAAGGTTCTCTGTGTAGACTTAAAATATTTTATCCTTCTTTGCTTCACTCTTTCCTACAAATGACATAAACTTGGAAATGATTTTTTTAGAATTTAACTACCTTTACTTGGTGTCATACATATATATGCATTATAGAATTCTGCAATAGAAAGAAATGTTATTAATAGAGTTACTAGAATATCTAGGATAATTATTACCTAATACAGTATGTTTATGTACACACACACACACACACACAAATTTCTCTCTCTTAACTCACAAGCTAATTCAAAGTTCCATTTAGGCCAATGGGAAAAGCAAGGCTTTCAAGATTGTGTTCCTTATATTCCCACAAAAGTCATGAAAATGCCTGTGATTTCAGGTTTTAATTAGTCTGAAAACTAATCTGGTAGAAGTCTCCTTAAGAAAACAATGAAGACAAAAGAGCAAGTACTTCAGAGACCTTTGACAGTTACTGGTGAAGCTTGAAAGCTTACGTTCCCAGCAGGACTTAAAAGCTACCTTCAGCATGTCTTCTTACGTGGCAGTCACAGCTCTGATAGCCAAAGAGCAAAGATACCTTTCACTCTCCAAGGTGTTAGCTTGCATAGCAAAAATAAAAGTAGAGGAGGAAACACAATGTGCAAGAGTCTTCTCAAGTGTGTGACTAGAAAGAAGCATGGCAACCTCCTGGCAAGGTTGTGTAAAGATACAATAAACAAGTAAGTGCAAGCTACATGCACGTAACTGAAAGAGAGAACCTTCCCTTCTTACCAAAAATACACTGAGTTGTTCTGTGTAGTGTAAAGGAGCTGTCACCTGCCTTTCAGTTAGCATACAAACTGTGTAAGAGTGTATTTAGTGGATAATTAAAAGTCAGTTAAAAATCTCAGATAAAAATTAAGTAAACTACAGCAAAAAAAAGAATTATTTCATCTCAGTCTGACTTTAAAGATGATCATGATATTCTCCTAGTTAATAGCATTTTTTAACATGTCATCATTATCATCTTAACATAATTTCTACCATAGCTGTCTAACTAATGGAGCAAATCTGATAGTTGCCAGGCCCAGTTATTGTCTCATTTTTTAAAAATGCCTTTGGGAAGATATTAGTCAAATCAGTCCAATTTGCTCCTTAATCATATTGAATACAGTGTAAATTATTTAGCAGTGGAGACAAACTTATCATTTAAATGCTGTTCTCCAACATGCCAGGCAAAGGCTGTAACTCTGCTGTTCAGGGTAGGTTTCTTTTTTCCTGGGACAGATGTCACAGGGATCCATGGAATCCAGCTCTAAATATCAGGTGAAAAGCTTTTTCTTTTGAGATATCAGCAACCCAACCATGCTGAGCTGTATGTCCGAGGATGCTTTAAAGTCTGAATTTTTTTTTTTTTTTTCTTTTTTTGAGTTTCAAACTGAATCAGTAAGAGGATTTTGATTAATTTGCAGATAAATCCTCATGGAGAAGTAGCACAGCCTTGTGTTCTGCATGTTAACAAACCAAACGCCCAATTATAATCCTAGCTTTGACACAAACAAGGAGAATGAAGCAAATCAACTTATCACTGTCCCCTATTCAGCTATGTAGTAGGGTCTTCAGCAGCCATTTTGGGGACTAATTACTTGCCATTTACTACTTTCATGATAAACATGGGATTACACATACTTCTAACATCTATAAAGAGGTTTCTGCAATGTAACTTCTTTCAGAAATTGTTAATGAGAGAAAATGTGTCTTTCTTTTCCTTTGGGCCATGCACTTGTGCTATAAACTATAGTTCTTCTAGTCTAACAAATTAAAAGCAAAGAAAAAACCCTTAAGAATTCCTCTCAAACATTTAGCTGCCTACCTGTAACAACTGACAAGAACCCACGAGAGCTTTTATACACATTCTGTATCTTGAGAAAGCACACATCTGACTCTTTGTTAGCCAGCAGTAGGAAACAGCAGGAAAATCCACTTCAACTCATTAAAGAAGGAAGTTCTACTTGAAAAATGAGAGAATTTCTGCCATACAGCTAACCTTCATAGTGTAATCAGCACTGGGAAGAAATTAGTTGTTCTTGTTGTACCTCTTTGTATATCCTTTCCTGGGCGTCAGCTGTTGTACGCAGACGGAGACAGCCTACAGACCCGAAGGACCTTTGACCTGACTCCATGCGTCCTACCTTAGGCTCTCGCTCACCTTTTCCGCTGAGTATTACCGTGTATCAGTAGCAGCACAATTTCCATTGTATCAGTTCAGTACAGTAGTTCAGATATAAGCAGACTGAAATAGTTTTATGACTAAGATAACACTGTTAACTATTTTCAATGCATTATAAGGAAGAGACATTTCTACGCAACACAGACATAGCCCACACTAAAAAAAGGCTACCATGTTCTCCAAATACCACTTTTGAACTTCTGTATTTAAGACTGAAAATCAGCATCTCCCTGATAACAATTTTCCAGTTTTCCATCTTCCCAGTAAAACATCTGCGAAAGCTCAGAAGATACAAAGACTGTGAAAAATATTTGCCAATTTTCTCTGTTTTTGAGAAAACTTCCATCCTTTTAGATGGATGTAATTCTTGGAATTTCTGTTCTTCCATTACAACTTACTGTCATTGGTTTTCTCTGTTCTAACCCAGGGAGAATCAAATGTAGCCACATGTTGCTCAGGCTGCTTGTAATCGTGCCAAAGCGTAGCTCCATCGTTTACATTATGTTTCTACTGTTAGGACACTGTGAATTTTCCCTCTTTATGCCTGTGTGATTTGACCATGGATCCTACTGCTATTTTCAGCTTCTCAAGGCTGCAAGCAGAATCTGACCAAGATTATTTATTTATTCTAAATTTGCAGGTTTTATTACTGACTCACCATGAAGAAGGATCACTACTTGTGAGGGTATGAAGTTACACTGATACTCTCATATTATTCTTTTTAACAGGTTGCAAAAGCCTTCTCTAACAACATAAACTGAACTCACAATGTGTGCTGGCTGAGATTCTGACTTACAGGAGCTTTTAGCTTATTCTCCAGATGCTACCTTAATGTCTTGATTTCAGAAGTGCTAAACACTAGGAACTTTCATTAAACAAATGCCTGAATGCTTACAGAAATCACACATCACTCTAATGTTCAGTGTTGTAAAATAGCATTATTTGTCTAGGTTACCTTCACCACATGTGCTAATGTACCTCACTGGCAGAAAGAGCTCCTTAAAGCCTTCTGTTCTCTCAACTACTCTTAAAACTCTGTTGCCATCGTTACTGTTTTACTAAATATCCACCAGTTAAAACACATATCAGAAATTACATAGCAATGCCTCCCCTTCTCTGGTGGTTATTTTTGCTCCAAACAATGAACCATCATATTCAAAATTCAGTACTGCAAATACTAGAAATTAGGTCAACATTAGTACATTTCATGTAACTGTAGCAGCAACAAACAATAACTGTAAACATTTGCCCTATCTGCTCAGCAGCAAGCATGAAGTCCAAATGTTTGTTACAAAGAGAGCAAAAGGACAAAAAAGCACTCATGAGCAACATACTCAATAAATCAGTCTAGGCAAAATCGTAATACACCTGGGCACCTGAGGGCAGCCTTACCTTTATTCTTGCCTCACAAAGCTTAGCAAAGATATTAAGCATTTCCCTCTCTCTCCAACCTACTCAGAATGTTTCGGTTTGCTCAAGTTCACATTTATGCAAGGTCATTTTATGTCCGAGGGAACATAACTTACAGGACTGACTGTAACTAATGGAAATAGACTGCCTTCTGAAACAATGTTTCTGATTCTAGAAGACCTATATCATAACATTACAAGCAGACTGCTACTTCCGTACCTTCAGCCCATACTGCTTGGGTCTGCCTAATCCTTCCAAACCATCTAATCTGTGTTTTATCTTCAAGAAAATACCAGCTGTACATAATATTTTAAACACAGTACTTACCAACAGAGAGGCACTCCCAACAGGAAATAGAAACAAGCACATAATTTACTCTCTAATCTCCTCCAGGCTTCCTAGCTCAACTTGCGAAAGAACAGAGTACTGGTCAGGTTGCCTCATCACTCGGTGTGTGTTTGGTGCAGGTCTCTTTTCCTTTTTTGATTAGATGGACACATTGGCAGTAATCTGACTTTGCATCAAGATGTCCCAGCCCAGGGTAATGTGAAGGAGGCACAGCTGTATCTGGTGCCACAAGCAGTTCCAAGCCGCTCATATTCCTGCTTCTAACTGCACCAGAAGTAGGGCATCCAGCTTCCAGACACCAAACTTCCAGCTTCGTACTGCAAACAAAATGATTGTTGTTATAAGACAGAGCACTAGATATCTTATTTAAGAGACCTAGACATTCACTGCTAATCATAGAAGTATGAAGACTTTAAAAGTAAACCTGCGTTACTCAACATATTTGAGGAATAACTGCCATACCAGCTTATTAAGTCTGTAAAACTAACACGACTAACAAGTCTTTTTCTTCCACTTTTTTAAGTCCAACTACAACTCTCACCAACTTCTCAACAGTGTACAACAAGGTATTCTGCGCTAAGGAAGGAAAGATTATGAGAACTGAAATTCAGACTGTATTTCAGCTTCAGTGGCATAAGACCTGGAGTAATGCCCTTGTAGTCATTAGGCGCCTTAATTTTATACCAGAGAACACAGAGTGGACATTTTTAAATCATCACATGAAACACGATGGTGGGAATATCTTCATATTTACTGATAGACCAATGCTATGCAACTTCTTAGCTATTTTTCACAACAGCCTAAAACTATTTCATGTGCAACTGATGAAAACATGCTTTTAATTAGAAAATTAAGAGCTGTGTGCATCTGACCTACACAGAATTTTTGTGCAAAGAAGTTCTCTGATTGCCTTCAAAGTTCATCAGAAGTAAAAACTGAAAAGACCTGACTGTACTACAAGCTCACAACATGCTCAGAGTTCTTGTTTTGTTTGTAGCAATAGGACATCTAAAACAGAATGATTAGAGGGTTTGCAAGGTCTCTTGTGCAATGAACAATCCAGATACTTAACCTACGGAGACAAACCACAGATTTACATAGATTCAGGTACAAAGACCCAGATTCCTGGTTGTGTTAACTAACCTAACTCTTCATATCCCAGTGCCTCAATCAAGTTAGTAGAAGCATTATTATAAAGCAAAACTGATTCATTTCAGCAATTTGAATGTTCTTGGTGAGAGTTAGTAAGCTATTAAAATATAGATTTAACGGGTAAGTTAATGTAGAAATCATTGTTATATCAGAATTTACTCAAACGGATTTTGAAGATGCAACACCTACCTACAAAATAACCCAGGATCACAGTGGAAACTATTCCAAACAAGGCAAACACAAATACCCTCAGACAACTTTCTCCCCTCTTCTAGAGACCCCACCTAGCCATCTTATATCCAAGTCCGCATTCTTTCTCGGAGCAGCGCTGGATTTGCTGAGCAGCCAGCACAATTCCAGCTTGCTCTCTTGTGGCCAACATTAGAGTTACAATAGCCCTGGTAGTCTTCAGTTCCAATTATTTTTAAGAGCCAAAGCGGCAAATTAAACATAACCGCTAGTAGATACCAGCATTTCCAAGACAGAAAATAAATGGTTTCATCCTGTCTAACTCAGCTACACAGTAGAGTAAAATTCCTTCTTACTGCCCTGCCTGTTCAGTTATTGCAACCTATGCAGACTGCAGTTTCTATTCTTTCACTTGTGAAAGAGCATGCTGAGTAGGCAGTGTAATCGGTGGGGTAGAAAGCTAAGGGAAAATACATGCAAAGGCTGCCTTGGCTGCTGCCTACCTGCAACAAACCGAGTCGTTTCCTAGGCTCCTCACCCCTTAGAGCAAGAGAAAAGTATTAATTAACTGTCATGTTCAGTTATTTCTCAAGGCTGCTGTTGAGATAAAATAAATACCTGCAGTACCCTCCTCAAAAATTTCAGTGCAAGCACATAGTAAACAACTGAGCTGCAGCAGCCCTGAAGCAAAGTTGATTTAAAGTCTCACAGACTTGCACGAGGAGAGGAAAGGTGAAGACCTTTTCCTTCACTGAAAACAGTTTTAAACACAGCTACTGTTATTGTGGGTACGAATATGAGCGAGTTCAGGAGTGACCACATAGCAGGAGTCCACTTGTTTATTCAACTGTCTCATCAAAAGTACATCCCCTGAGTGCATATCCACAGTCCGTAGTAAGATGAGAATTTCAGAACATCACACATTCATTAAGAATGCCTCAAACTCACTACTGTCACTCTCATGAACCAACCAATGAAACCATCTCAGAAACGTGGTGGGGGAGTTCTGATTAATAAACATTAACCATTTTTATTACTGAACAGTAAAAGGATCATAATTACAGAAATCATATTCTGACTACTGGGTTACTTAATCATCAACCTTTGTAACATAGTAGCAAATAAAACACTCAGGAGGCAGATTGCTGAGAGGTGCTCAGATTAAACGAATTGCTCCAAAGAACAAGAGTGACAAACTACCAAGTGCACTAAGCAATAACATCCCAACTCTTATTCAGATGCGGATATTTCTTCTAGAATTGGAAGGATAAGGCCCTGAACTCTTCCAACCCTTAGACGACAGTTCTGCAGCTCTTCAGTTAACCCACTTCTGGACTGCTCAGATGAACAAGCGCTCGGCTGGCCGAACTCACACCACCACACAGTCCCACAAAGAGCTACATTGATGCAAGGGTGGAGGCAGCAGAAGGGCTGAAAACAGAGGGAGGAACGGGACTCGCTCCTTATGAAACTCTACCCTGCTCCTCTTTCCTTTGAAGGCAGATCTGGGATTGTAAATTACTATACTGATAATTCTTCTTACAACCTAATTGTCTCTTTGCATTACTCTGCTAAGGAACAAGAATCCTTATTCTTCTACCGCTGCCAAAAACTCCAGTCAACGTCAATGAAGCTCACGGACACCATCATAACAAGGTTGCTCAGAAGCTGAAAATGTTCTTATAATATCTGTTGTTTAAAAACATACATGATTACACAAGACACAAATTATTAAGTAGCAAAAGTCAATAATCCTATGTATTAAGTAACAAGTATTTCAGACAATTCACAGAGATCTGCACTGTGTTTGCAGTGCAGTCAGTAGCAAAAAAACTTGTGAGATTTCATGACATTTCTAAAGGAACTGAGCTATAAGTAGCTAAGCTTGGAATGGCTTTTGAGTCTTTGAAATGATGTACAAGATTTAAAAAGAGAAAGAGGGATAAAATGAGACAAAGAAAAACACTATGATATTCCCACCTCAATCTTCTTACTGAATTCTTACCCAAATTCCTCAACAATGCCCACTAATACACACTGATAAATATATGTGCTATTTTCCATGGAAATCAGAAAATTTCTCATTTCTGATTCATTCACCAACCAATTACGAGATCAGAACTTAATATTGATTTCCTAACTAAATCAAATTCTGTCTTAAATTTGATACTTAAAAAGAGGTGCTATTAAAAAACATTTTCAAATTCTTCTTGTTTTAGCAATTTGGCTCTTTTTTCATTTCTCAGCTTACATTTGTTTATGATATTAAATCATGACGGTATTATTTGTCCTCGTCCTATTTCATCCCACCACTTAAACAACTCTCTCCTTCCATGATGCATCACAAAAACAGGAGGACATACATCACTGCAATATATCTATACTAGAATTAAAAAGACAGAGCATTAAGATCACAGAACCAGAGAGTAAGTTATATAATCTTACAATCCATAAGTGTGATACAATTCATGTCTCCTTTGGAATACCTTTAAGTGCACTCGTAGGCTCACAAGGAAGCATTTATCTGTTCTCCCTTTTTATCTTCTCAGTGTAAACAATTGCTTTTCCTACAGCAGAGATGTTACGTTATCATAAGCAAGAATGTCTTCAGCTGTCTCAATATTAAATTCAAACGAAAAAGATTTGGTCAATCCAGGCTAATTTCAGACCTATCTTAGGAAATAATCACCACTGAAAAGATTGACATTTTTTTACATTGTTAACAATTTCCTGGAAGCAAGATATAATACATCAACCTCCTGAAGTATTTGTCTTGAATTTTGCCTCTCCAGATCTTTCTTAGACAACAAGTCGTAACTGCTAGATTGTCAAAGGACGCTGAACTACTTGCAATCCAACTTATTGAAGTATTTCAAGTAAGTATCCTTATGATGCTAGTCTCACTTGTACTTCTCTTATATGTAACAGGAACGACAAGAGATTACCTACAGCAATTCATTGAAAAGAACAAGAACAGCATCAGAGCCAATAAGTTGCAGAAACTGAAGATAAATACATCATGTCCTCTACAACTTACATCATCACTTGTAAATCTCAAATCAGATCACTGATAAAACAATGTTCATTCAGAAGTATCCAGACTAAAAAAACTACAGCCAAGCTGAATTCTTTCTGTCTTAGATATTATGATAACAATTATGTGACTGGAAGTTAAGTATCAGGCTTGATGACTGAAGCAAGATAGATTCATCGCTCCCTCACTGCTCATATTCCCTGCATCGTGCTAAGAGAATCACAGGTGAACAAGAACTACTTTGGCTGTCAAACAAAAAATATGGCAGATAATGTATTTCTCCTCGGAAGCAATAATGTTGTATGTCAACTGATCAGCAGTCTGGTAAAATATAAGATGGACTGCATGAAGAGACTGCCCAACTTGTGGTAAACTTTTATTACTTCAGCAGCAACTAATTGAGACTGACACTGCAGAAATTCATAAAAAGCGTGTGAGCTACAATCTACTTTTTCTCTTATCCTAGATACTGTATAGCATAATCTACCTGCTTTATGGGTTTCGTTGTCTCTATCATGACATTTTGCTCTACATGTTTGCTAATATTATTAGCCCTTACTAGAATGTTACTTTAGGTAACCTCACAGGTGTTAGGGAAAAGGAACTAAGGATGGTAGCAAGGGTGAACAGGGGTTGTGGCCTCAGCAATAAGGATGCTGTCCCACAGTACATATGCATGGCAAGCAGGGCAGACCCAGCAGCAGCCACCAGGTTTGACGCAAAGTCCAATTCACTAGACAACTTCACAGTGATGAGGCAGGTCCAAGGTAAAAATGAGAAGGTAAGTCATCAACAAGTCAGGGTTAAGTCTGGACAGAGTAACCAGGGCCTGCAAGTCCCAATAACAAGGTGAGTGGGGGGGACAGCTGGGAAACAAGTCAATGGGTCAGGGTCCAGGTCCAAATGCACATTCTGCCTACATAGCCCCACAACTACAACAGGGGCTCAGGTGAAAGGCAAACACAAGAGGCTCTGCTGAAAAGCAACAAGGAAAGAACTACATTTCTCAAGAGGAGGAGCAGGCCCTGATTCAGGCATCCTAGGACACCTAGTTGAGGATGCCCTGCTAAAGCTTCTTCCAGCTTTTACTCAGAGCTCCAAGTTTGCTGCTGTCTCTCCAACAGCTTTTCCTTAATAGAGAACTAGCACCCCCAAAATAGGCAAGAACAGTGTGCTCAGGGGCCTGATAAAGTCTAATACTATAGTAACATGCAACACACCAAAGAGTTGGCTTCCAGTCATCACTGACATAAAATTGGAATAGTTCAACTGAGTTACTGAACACGGCACCTCTGACAATTACACAGACTTAAGCAACCCCAACACAAGCATATAGTGAATGAATATAAAGATGTTATAATAATGAAATAAACAAGAGAGTTTGGCAAAGCAATTTATAATAACAAAAAAAAAAAGAAGAGAAAGCTTACCCACACCCTAGGCTCACTACAAAACTCGAGAGAATGGATCTCCAGAAAAAATTGTTTCCTACTGGCAGTCAGCTCTTAAAAGGGTCTAGGAGAGGTGCAGCCAGGTTCCACCCCTTCCGGCAGCACAGGTGAATTGCCCTCATCTGTGCTCCTGTGGCTGACTCATGGCTCGCCTCAGGTGATCAATCAGAGGCTCAGGCCGTGATTCACCAGATCCCATACAACAAGTAATTTAGGAGCCTCTTTCCTGCCAGCAAAGCATGAGCTCAGGTCAGACAAAGGTCTCCAGTGTGAGTGATTACACAGTTTTATTTTATGTATGCTCAGAACGATGAACTTACCTCACTGATTTTAGGTTACAAAGACTACAATCAGAAAAAATTAAAACAAGAAAAGATTGCTACGAACACAAAACATTTTTGAATTCCTAAGTTCTGCCACATCATCCTCATGGCACCGCCTGTACCAGAGATCTCTTACACCCCTATCTGCTACTACCTATCGTAGTGCCTCAAACTCTTACTGTACACTTACCAATTTCACTTCAGCACGAAGAGATAGGAAGTGGGACGATGCCCTGTATGCTCTCCACACCATTCCAGTCAGTGGCTTTGCAGCGGCCTGCTTCTCTCACTGCTGACATGAGGTACTTCTCTGTTCTACTCATGATGCCAACACTCAGGCTGGGTGGTCTTAACTCATTGGTTCTGCTTCCAAGCCAGCTTCAAGAAGACACCCTGCTACTTCTCCAATATCTAACTTGCACCATAAACCAACGCACCAACACAGTTTCAAAGACAGCACAGAACGAGAAAGCATTCACTCCGCATCTTTGGTTACTGTAACATGTCATGTAATGAAGATTCCAAAACCTGGCTTGTTTTGCAATCACCACGCAGATCAACTAAATTCTGCCACCCAGTTCCACTGCAGGGCCAGCACTGCACTATTTCAGAGGGAAGCACTTCATTTTCTGTTTTGTTACTTGTCGGAAAACCATTTCTCAGCTCTCATTGCAAATATTCTACTGAGCCCCCACAGAACAGATGGAGGACAGCAACAAGCACGGGACTAGCACCAAGTCCTTCTATGTGCCAGGACGCTGCCAGCGATCCGACCGGACAGCAGCCAGCACCGGGAGAAGCCGCCCGCACCGCCCTCACAGCCGCAGCGACGGCAGCTCCACCTCAGCCGCACGCGCCAAACGGCTGCGGCGCGCGACACGCTACCGGCTGCTCCCCACCGCGCATGCGCACCCGCTGCGACTACATTGGTGGCGCGTGCGCTGTAGCAGCAGGAAGCTGCGCGCCGGGAGGCGCGGGTATTGTGCGTGTGGTGACGTGCCGCGGTCCAGCCAGGGAAGCGGGGTTATGTCGCGACGGGAGGAGGAGGAGAGCGCCGAGCTGCGCCATAAGGAGGAGCTGAGTCGGAGGGTGAGCTCGGAGTAGCCCTAGGTGTTGTTTCGGGGCTTCTCGCGGCTCGGAAGGGAGGGTAAAAGCGCAGCCTGTTGGGCTAGTGCGGAGGAGAGGAGGGCCCGCCTGAGGCTGCGTTGTGCCTCGGCTGGGAGCCTCTGTCCTAAGGGAGCCTGGCGCCTGTGAGCCCTACTAGTAAACTGCCCTTTTCGCAGTAACGAATGTTACGTGCTCGTGTAGCTGCTGGTGGAGCAGCCTTTTCTGTGTGCTCCGTTCAGTTTGACTAATCCGGCCTTGTAGTTGTTACTTCTAGCTGCGCCAGTTCCAGGAGGCAGAAAGGAGCAGAGCGAGCTGTGTGATTGGTGCTTAAGATAGCAGTGAGTGCTGAACCACTTCTGCTCTGTATCAGCTTTTTTGGAGGGCTCTTGCTTGCTCTTTGTCGTTGGTGGCTGTTGTCCAGGAAAACGGGAGCACCGGGCTGCCTCTGTCAATGCAGCTGAACTGATGGTGGTAGATCCAGCATAAGAACTTTGTGCTGAAACTCCAGTGTAGTGCAATTGTTTACAATTCTCTTAGGGTGTTGGTTTTGGTTTTTTCTTTTTGTTGTTGTTGGATTTTTGTTTTTGTAGGGGGTTTTTGTTTGTTTCTGTTACTGTTTTAGTTTTGAAGCTGTAGAATATCAGATTATAAAGTGTATTGTGGAGGTAAATTCTGTTTCCCAAAGTGCTTGATGTTTTTGTTAATAGTTATTTACATGTTAGCTTGGTTCCTTCTGAGAAGGTTGGGAGGGAAGTAATCTCAGATTCTAAACAGCTAGGGGTACTCTGGCTTCTCAGTAATGACTGCTTTTGGGGGATGGGTGTAATGCCAACCCATGCTAGATAACCCCCTTCTAAAGCAGTTACTTAGACTGCTTCATTGGCTTATTGTTGACTTGGTAACTTAGATTTCAAAAGAAGCATGCTAACTGTAATTCAGTTATGTAGTCTGAAGAGTTGTAGTGTGCTTGGAATAATGGCTAATCAAATACCTTTTTCATTTTTATGTCTACTTTCACTTTAGAGGTCTGTTCAGGGAACAGTGACATAGATTCTTCTAGCTGTCTTTAAAATATGGGGGAAGGTTTTCATCTTCAGGATTGCAACACAGTGGTTTGTTGTTAATAATTACATTGATACGTCTCTTTTGTCTTTCAGATTAAAGAACAGAAGGTTGTGGTTGATGAGCTTTCTAATTTAAAGAAGAACAGGGTAAGTAATTATGAAATTTCTTTTGGCTACTTCATTTTAGCATCAGATGTATTTGTATAGAGGCAAGGGGGCCAAAAATCATATGTAAATATGTTATCTTCAATTGTCGCGCTAAAGAGTTTAATGCAGATGTGGCCTAGTACCAAAATGTTTTGTTCTCCACACCACTTGAGGGTGTATTTAGACTTGTGCAGTGTAACATGGTGTGGTGTCGGAAGATTTTATTTGTTTTAGCTGAATTTTTGCATGATAATGTTTGAGTAGGTCAGATTATGTTAAAATCTTCCTAATTTTCGTTTGTGTATGATGTAACATAAAATATGATCGCCCAACTATGAGGGAAGGGAAAATGCAGAATGGTTGTGGGTCGATCCTGAAATGTTTTGGTGCAACATGAGGATGTTGCTCATGGCAGAGTAGAAAGTAGCCTTCTGACATGAAAAGGAAGGGTATCTCAGTGGTCTTACATGGATTTGTGCTGCAGTGTGGTTGCAGCCTGTGTTATTTTTACTTAATGCAGCATTGTTTTTGTTTTACAGAAAGTTTATAGGCAGCAACCCAATAGCAACATATTCTTCCTTGTAGACCGAACAGAAACACTGTCTCAGTGCAAAAGTAAGTTTGCAGTGCAAAAGGTAATAGTTTAACTGTTTAAAAGCTTTCTCTGTAGCTGTTAAGGATTTCAAAGTTGTAGTCAAGTGGAAGAGCTGGCAACTGCATGTTAGATACCAAGTGGACTTGAGATGTGCCTGCTTTTCTGGGTTGGGTAAATGTGGTTTCAGCTTGATTTGCACGAGTGGTAAAACAGCAAGTGCCGAAGATACAGGAGGGAGTCCTCCCACAGAGAAATCACTATTCTCAGCACCCTTTGGGAAGCTGTACATGCTCAGTTCTCCTCCTTTTTTTTTTAATTGTTAACCCTTAAAATTTCATGGGATGAGCACAAAATATGAGTATGGAGCTAGAAGTAAAGCTAGAAGTCTAGAGGTCTTCAGGTGCTTGAGAGAATGAGTTTTTGGGATTATCAAGATAAGGGAATGGAAGATAGAGATGTGATAATTGAACAAAGGTGTTAGAAATCAATTCAAAAGTATAAAATTACTTCCTGGACTGAACAGTTGTCAATATCTTTTTTGGTTGGAGTTTACCATGTTGACATGGTGTGTATTCACTTTTCTTACTACAAATGTGTAAATCATATTGATTATGTAGGCAATGATTGGCTTTTTCTTTACATTATTAAACTTGTAGTATGGATTTCCTTGAGGGGAAAAAGATGTTTGTATTATTGAAGACAAATAAGCTGCAGTGAGGTATGGTTGTGATAGATGAGTACTGTAACACATGTTTCTTACTTTTGTTTTCCTGTCTTTAATTGTACAGCTGACACTCATTTCTTAGGCATGAACTCATTTACTGTTTACTCTGGTATTTTCATCACACAGATACATTAGATCAATTAAAGAAAGCACATCAAGAGTTGGAAAATTCAGAGAAGACTAAAGTCAAGAAATAGTCCATCTGAATCGCCATGTGCGGTATTTGTTGTGTTGTTGCCTTGTCTAGTCAGCGTACCATTTGTGATGACTTCAGTGAGGATCTGTATTGCCATCTTAGAAGAAGAGGACCAGACAGCAGCCAACAGTTGATAAAGACTGTGTCCGAGCCATCCTACGAGTGTCTTTTTTCTGGCCATGTGCTTCACCTGAGGGGACTGATGACTCCTCAGCCTCTGGAAGATGTCAGTAACAATATTTTGCTTTGGAATGGAGAAATTTTTAATGGAGTGCACGTAGGAGATTCAGAGAACGACACTGAAGTTATGTTTCGTCACCTTGCACTATGCAGTAGTGACGCTGACTTCTTATCACTCTTCTCATCACTTTGGGGTCCATGGTCTTTTATTTATTATCAAGCATCTGGACACAGCTTATGGTTTGGTAGAGATTATTTTGGTCGTCGCAGTTTGCTTTGGCAGTTCAGTGATGTGAGTGATAGTGTTTTCTGTCTCACATCTGTAAGTGTGAATTCGGAATCTTGCAACCGATGTCAAGAAGTCCCAGCATCTGGAATTTTCAAAATTGATCTCAAAGGCTGTGTGACAACTAAATCGTTGTCTTTAATGTTGTTTCCATGGAAGTACAGTTGCACAGAGAAAATTGAAGAAGAAATATTCATTGATATTCTGGATCAAGTTTCAAAAGACTTACCAGATCACATCTCTGTTGTGATGAATGAGTCAAAACTGTGTCTCAGCACACCAGTAACGCCCTTCAACAGAACCATTTCTGAAGCCTCAGCTGAGTGTGCAAGCACTGATAGTAGCAACACAAGCCACGTGGTTTCCGTAGAAACTCTTCAGGGATATCTTGCAGAGGAGCACAAGAGAAAACTAGTCCATCAGTTCATTGATGTTTTAGATGAGGCAGTAAAGAGACGAGTTTTATTACTAGTTAGAGGTGAAGATCAGAGAACAAGAGAAGTTGAGGGTGTCTTTCCCGGGAAGGCTCATGTTGCAGTGCTCTTTTCTGGTGGCGTTGATTCTATGGTTATTGCAGCCCTTGCTGATCGACATGTTCCTTTGGAGGAACCAATTGATCTCCTCAACGTAGCTTTCATGCCAAAAGAACAAACTAAGCAAACAGGTACCCCTAAGAACTGTATCGGCCAGGAAATGCAGCTTGATTTGCGTCGTGTTCAAGAAAATCATGAAGATCTTGATGCTAAAACTGGTGATCGTGTATCTTGCTTTGATGTTCCTGACAGAATTACTGGTAGGGCGGGACTGAAAGAATTAGAAGCCCTTAACCCTTCAAGAACCTGGAACTTTGTGGAAATTAATGTCACACTAAAGGAATTGCAAGAAATGAGACAACGATTCATAAATCACTTGATTTATCCTCTGGATACAGTTTTGGATGACAGCATTGGCTGTGCAATCTGGTTTGCTTCCAGAGGAGAGGGCTATATTCATAAGCAAGGAGAAATGAAACCATACAGAAGTCCTGCAAAGGTACTGATTGTTTCTTATAGTCTTTTGTTTTCTTTCTTACACTTAATTTGTGAATGTTTCAGAAACTAGCTGGGCTCTTTAATATTCACAAGGCTTCTGAAATTCAGTGGCAGAATACAATAGCGATAATCTTCAATAATTCTGGAATTAAAGCCTGCATTCAGTTCCTTGATTCTGTGAATGGCTTTTCTGTAAGCTTGACTAAGCAGTAGTGACTAGGAGAAAAGTCAATGCCTTAACTCAGTAGTAGGCAAGTGCTATTAATCCAAGTGAACAAATCCATAAACTCGGTGTGTTCCTCAGGATTAATGTGACGATTTTTGTGACAAAGTAGCTATCAGTTATGACAGACAAGATGACTGCTTGCAATCTTTTGTAATTATAGTCTGACTGTTCAAGCTACAAAGAATATTTCTTTCCTTCTTGTATGTTGTTTTCACATGCGTAGTTCTAAGATCCATTATGTACTATTGGCCTCCCTCGGTATTAATGAAGATTTCTTTTGCTCTTTTTCCTTAGGTGGTGCTTACAGGAATTGGAGCAGATGAACAGCTTGCTGGGTATTCCCGGCATCGCGTTTGCTTCAGAAAATGTGGCCTAGAAGGTCTGAATAAGGAAATTGAAATGGAGTTAGGTCGCATTTCTTCTAGGAATCTTGGTAGAGATGACAGGATTATTGGTGATCATGGAAAAGAAGCCAGGTAATAGTAACGTGAAACAAAGCTGGTTTTACTGGTTAGGCTCTAGTTTTATCACTCTGATAAAAAGCTCTATTTGAAACTTGTTTGCACGTTTTTTGTCTCCAAATTCTGTTCCATTTGTATTAGCATGCACTCTCTGAGGGGGGGAAAAAAGGGTAATCTGTAATGCTGTGGCAGAGTTACTTAAGGAAATCTAGCAACATGAACATTGGATTTCCATCTGGATGTTTTAAGAAGCAGCAACAGATGTTGGAGAAAGCAAAATCAAGTGGGTTTTATCATTTTAAGTGCAGCAGTCTTCTCAGCTTTGTAGTGTTCTGTTGAGGTAACTTAAGGAGTGGCTCTGGAGAATGACAGCTTCCTAACACAGAGAGAGAGGCTGTGGTGCACCAGCATCAAGGCTGCATATTCCTGTCCATGCGATAAAAGCAAGATAGACATCCCATGCATTTCCATGTCATTAAGTCAGAATACTTAAAGAATTGGGCTTTTTGAGTTTACCTCCTCCACACTACTATTCACTGACTTGCAAAGAATCCCTTTAGTTGTAGTCTTAACAGCTGAGGCTGCTCAAGAGCATGAAAGGTTTTGGTGCCCAGTGGTGTCTTTCCAGGCATGTTCTTAATCACACATTTTCATTTTAGCAGGAAGTGTTTGCAGTGGCAGGTAGGTGTTAATTGTGCTTGTGAATCGATATAAATGCCTGGCATTCAGATGGTTGTGAAGATCTTAAAGATCTTTTTTGTGAACAATTTTGTTTCTAAATTATGGTGTGGCTTTATACAGCTTTTTTTTTTTTTTTTTAATGCTTTAAAGTTATCTTGGGGTGTTACTTCAAAATTTGGAAACTTCTGGGCTTCTGAGTTTACTTGTATCTTTTACCTACCTTCCTAGACAATATAGTTGCTTGGGAGACTTCCCTCAGTACCATGTCACTGATGTTTAATGCACAATCTGTTTTCCCCATGTCTTCAGGTTTCCCTTTATTGATGAAGATGTCGTTTCGTTCCTCAACTCGCTGCCCATCTCAGAAAAAGCAGACTTGACTTTACCTCGAGGAATTGGTGAGAAGCTGATTCTGCGCCTTGGAGCCGTGGAACTTGGCCTTAAAGCTTCAAGCATTCTGCCAAAAAGGGCTGTACAGTTTGGATCTCGGATTGCAAAACTGGAGAGCAACAATGAAAAAGCACACCACACATGCAGCAGACTGAAGTTATTTTAGTAGATGAATTATAAAGCTATATCTGAAGATATTATTTATCCTATTTGTAAATTCAGTAAATCTTTGGGATTTTTTAAAAAAAAGTTTGGCTTAGTTTGTTTGTTTTACACATTTGGGCGTTATTACAGTGAACAGAACAATACACGTAGTACATGCTTGTCGTAGACACATTATGAATGCATCCTTAGGGGAGAAGGGAATGCTGGTCTCTGTGGAGCAGAGGATAGCCAGAGATTGGCATTTCCTCTCCCCCTTTCTCAGCTAAGTGCCTACTGAATCCTCCAGTCTATCAGGTTATGGTTCTAGAAGGGAGAATGCGGTGTAGAGCTGACCTGGATTGCTAGAGCCACTGAGAGCTGAGGGTCCTGGGTCACTGCCCCCATGCATCACGCTTAACCTTTTGGTTTTTGAGGTATTACCCTTAGGAAACTATGTGTAGTTGTCAAGCCATGACCTGAAACAGTGATGGAGCATCTGGTGGGAAGGCAGGGCTGACTGGGGAGCTCAGGTGTATGCAATGTATCATGCAATGTATCTGAGTGAAAGGAAGAGTGGGGCCAGGATCCACCCCTTCCCAGAGCTCATTTAAGGGCTGGCAGTGGAGGTGATGCCATCTTGCTGGGGGTCTGTGCATACCTGAGACCTTCTGAAGGTAAGCAGCTTCTTTCCCTTATTTCTTTGTGTGTTGCTGTTGGTTTGAGCAAATCCTCTCTCTGCAGCCTGGGATCTTGCTGCTCTGCTGTCACTGTTGTGCTATTACTTCATACCATGCAATTTGGTTTTAGCATTTTTGCTTTCAGTTCTTTCAGTTTAACCTATTACTTATAAACAATAAATTCATCATTATTCCTTAAAGTATGGTTATCACTATGATTTGCAGTTTCTTGGCCAAATGTTTGTTTCTGTAAGGGAAAAAGGACAGAGGAAACTGCAGTAATGCTTGTGTTTTTATCTTGTCCTTAGGAAATGTAGTGGTTACTTGCAAATAGTGCTGTAACTGTTTGGTTAAATAATATTCTGTTCTTGTTGTTAATAGCATCTCGAAATATTGCATTTTAAATTGCAGAATATTCTTGAGGGATACTCAGGCCTGATGAAAGTGTTACATGGAGCTGTATGAGCTGATGAGGCAACCTAGTGGTCAAACGTGGCAGTGCAGGAAAACGCTCGTGCCTTTGCTGTGACAATAGCAAGCAGCACAACTTCACCATCTCCCCTAGTTGGCTGGCTTTAAGCAGAGACAAACTGCTACCTCACAGAACTTCCCACTGAACTGCTGGGCCAGCTGAAAAACAAGTACGTTCCCTGACAGCATCGCTGCAAGCACTGGTGGATTCAGGTTTGCCCTTCTAAGATTAAGAAATCTACAGGACTTTTGAGAGACGATGGCTGGTGGAATTTGCTGGCTAAACCTTTCAGCTGTGTAGATGTCAAATAGCACAGCACTTGTCAGCATACATAGATATGAAAGTTGGACTAATTTTCATCAGGACTCAGTATGTAGTGGAAGTGTGAGGCACGCATATGCAAAGACAGCAACTTGATTGTTGCATTAACAACTGTACAATTCAAACATTTAACAAAGATAAAACTTAATG